AAAGTCCTATGTACGAGGGGCGTTTCGGGGGGAGGGGGGTCAATTTTTAGACAAATTTTTGCGTACGTACTTATTGAATGGCCCCTTAGCGATCAAAATGATTCACAAAAATGAATCTTTCAAACACTTTATTCACTCATTAAATGTATTATTTGTGATGAAATTGTAAGCTTTCGGTACGTGTTTTGTGGCCAGAAATGGACACCAAATAACCTGATTAAGCACCAAATTTTTAGATGTATGTTATCAGGGACATATACTTTACAACATATTTAAGTCCCATAAGTGTAAAAAGGACAGATGATACAATTTAGTTTTATTTATATGTAATTATTAAAACTTTTTTAATATACTAATCTGACAATTAAATATTCATCATTATCACCTAACATTTATTTTATTTTTAATTTAATACTAAATACTAAACATAATTATTAAATTGTCAATGTAATTCATTGGAATAGGAATCGATTTGAAATAAAATATTATTTCCCATGCCCAATACTAGAATGCACTAGCTTGTTTGTGGACTTTGAAACTGTACCAGTACATGTTTTTATTTACTGTTATGTTTGAAGGTTTCAAAGTGAAACCAAATCACAGTCATATGTGCTGGGCTATTGTTTGACTGTGTAGTGTTGTGATCATTTAAAAGCCATTTACTTAATTAAAGTTTACACACCATTATAAATGCATTAAACAGTGCTATAGTAATGACTAAATTCAAAGTTTTAGTCGATTTGAATGGTTGTGAAAACTATAGCATAGCTGTTGAATGCTGTGATCATAGCATTGCATTCAATGCGGTCTACAATGAGATCATTAAACACATCAAACATCACATCTCTTACGACACCCATGTGTTTGAGGTATGCATTGAATGCACCAAAAGTTGTTGAAAAAGTTTTTAAACTAATTATTGATGTGTTTTTCAATTGACAGATATATGACACCGATTTCCGTGAATACTGTGTCATAACGAGTGATAAGTATTTGATTGAAAACTTGTCGCGAATTAGAGTCAGAAGTAAAGCAAACAATGCTTTGAATCACAAATCAATTACTCATACATTCAATGGTAATACCAATGAAACGGTGGTTAAAGACAATAACATTCTTCACGAGAGAAATCAGCGATCAGTTGATAATAATGTGATGACTGATAGGCACCGGAATGCGAGCACCAGTACAATAGCTAGCAGTGCGAGTGCTTTGGAGGCTACCGGTGCTGAATGTAGTGATAATAAACTGAACACAAGAATTGAATGCAATTATGGCTTAAATCTGAACACAAATAGCAATACCAGTCATAACGGAGAGAATATTCTTGTGGCACAAGAATTGCCACAAAACTCGACACAAACTTCTGTCACTAAACCGCCGCTAAAAATGACACAAAAAGTTGTCAATAAATCCAAAGAAGATAATCAAAGCACAGCTAATGAAGGCATTCCTCAGCAGTTCATTAACCAATGTCTGCCCGACGTGTTAGGGCTCACCACTTATAAAGTGAAACAAAACTTTGAGAAAATTGTCTTAAATGTGGACTATTTTATGAAAAATGCTCACAACATGTCTAATAGGGATGAAGTATTGGACACTAATAAGGATCAGGTATCGCATTCTAATGCTGACGAAGACCTGGCAACTTCATTAGCACCGGGTACTCATCCATCGACTCCTATCAACTACTTGGACATTGAGTTGAACACCGACTTCACCACAAACTCCAGTTCCAAACATCTGCCTTATATCACATACACAGCTAAAGTTGGTGACCAATGGGTGGTTGCTATGAGATATAGTCAGGGTGAGCACAGGGCGGCCACAAGATTAATACAAATATATGAGACACATATAAGCGATTGTGAAAACACAGACTTCAGGGATAATGTGGTGAAACATATGGAAAAAAGTGGATTCAAAGAGTGGGATTACAACATGTGTTTGAATTATTTTTATAATGCATTGTTTTTGTATCAAAAGGTATTTTATATTTAAGTAATACTATACCGTAGTAAAATGTAGTAAAATTTGTAATATTTTTTCAGGCTTTAGCTAACTGTCCGAATGTGGAGACGGCGGCTATAGTTAATCCACTATTCAATGCAATGCATAGATTTGTGCCAAACTTTTTAAACACCCCTAAAAGAAATGCAAACTTAAACAGAATGACTGCTAAGAAGTCGTCTGAATTGAATTCATTGAGACAAACATTTGTACAGAAATGCAATGATTGTCACACAACTATTATCAACTCGATTTCAACTACAAGCCATACCATTGACACTGCCGGTGCTGTGGACACAAGTAGTTCAGCAATTAGTGTACAAAATGGGCCTAAAATTAACTCATCGTATGTTTTAAATCATTAATAAATTTACATTAATTAATAAGTATTTATGTATTACAGGGAAGTAGTAAAGGACTCGACGGGTGATAAGAAATGTAATGCCGTTCCGACACTTAATACGAGTTCAGTGATAGCACCGGGCGATAGTGAACATAATCCCATTGACTATTTGGGACTAACAGTTAACCCTAACTTTACTCTAAACGCCTGTTCCAGACATTTGTCATATAAGACATATACTGTCAAACTGGGACGGATATGGTTTAGAGCCATTGTTTGTAATTTCCCTGATCATATAGCTGTCATGAAATTGCTGTCATTACTGGACAAACATCGAAACAATGGTCAGCCCATGGAAGAGGGGAACTGGCAATTAGTGTCCATACAAATGCCACACAATAAAAGTACATATTTTACACCAAAAGCGTGTCGTAATCTATTTAATAATGCATTGGATTTGTATAAAAAGGTTTGAATTATCAATTTACGATATTATCGGTAGTTACTAATAGAAGTGAAAATAAATTTTTCAGACACTGATTATGTGTCCAAACATGGAGAGGGCCGGTATTGTGAACCCCCTGTTCTATGCGCTGCATATGTTTGATATGGAGTTTATTATACCGACCCATGAATACAATGAAATGAAAAGTTTGCGGCAAAAGTTTGGCCAAACAATTACGACAACTACAACATCAAAGTCAGCAATTATAAGCGCACCGGTGCCTATTGTTCAACAAAAGTCGCCCAGTAGTGTCACTTCGAGCACATCACAAAGTGATCCGGCTATTGTAAAGTCTGGCCCTAAAATCTTACCTCAATTTCCTATCAGTGCCATACAAACGGTGCCATTGGGTGCCACTGGAGGGAAAGCAGTCCAACAAACTGTGCCCATACAAACTATTGGGAGTAAAGTAGCCCAAAAGGACCCGGTTATCAATAATGATTTACACGAACTGCGTGTAAAATCAGCGAAAATAAGTGAATCAGATTTACTGACATTTAAAACTCTGTGCGATTGTGTGAACACAACTGTCCGCGAGTTGGGCTCATTTGCAGACAATCCTAAGACGTTTTGGTCGTTCGTGTCGATTATGATGTGCGAAAGGGGTTACAAGTTTGATACCAACACCTGTAGCTTTATGTTCAACGACAGCGTTTTAAAATACTATAAAATTGTATGCATTTTACTTTATATTTCAGATAGAGAATAATTTGAATGGCTTAAAATTGATACCGGTATTAAATTTTGTTTGAATAGGCGTTAAAACATTTGCGGAAATATACGGAAGCGGTTAAAGTGTATCCATTCTTCACGTTAATACATGACATGGATTTGAGTAAAACATTATCGGAAACAGCGTATAAAAGGATTAAACCATTGAAAGATAAGTTTAAAAATTAAGTTTTGTAAGTCTTTAATTGTAAATTTAAAACTTTGCACCTTTAAATTAATTACAAAACAATAATCTGTAAACAGTATTCAATCTTTACCCTTAAAAGACTTGTTTGAAAACTAATTTGTTTGTCAAATAATAATTTAATACAAATAAAACTTTAAATTAATTACTAAATCATCCATGACAATTCTTCATTTAATTAACTTATTTCGTTAATTTTAAGAGAAAAAATTGTCATCCTTATGATTTCAAAAGCTATTGTATTCAACAATAGGCTGTCACTGATTATAAAAGTTTTAAATGAGTTCATTGTACGCATGTTTATTATCAGGGTCATCAAAGTTTGCAAACTTTTGAAAACTTGTTTTGAAACTTTCAAAACATGTGTTTGATTTGAGCGTAAACTTTAGCACGTGTTATGAAATTGTGGTTTACTTTTGAAAAAACACTTTCAATGTCTTAAATGACAACATGTCTCACAGTCATACGGATCCAGTCGTGGACACCAATCACAAGTGCCAACACATGTCCAACCCATTAGCACCGGGCTCTCACCCGTCGGTTCCCATCAACTACTTGGACATTGAGTTGAACACCGATTTCACCACAACCTCCAGTTGCCGACACCTGTCTTACATCACATACACCGCCAAAGTCCAGAACCAATGGGTGGTTGCCATGAGATATCTGGAGGAAGAGAACCGGGCGGTCAACGCATTGATTCAGTTCTTTGCCACACATTTCAGCAATTATGACACCAATGAGTTCAGGGATCATGCGGTCCAACATATGGCCGACAATGGATTCAATGATTGCGATTACAAGAAGTGTTTGAAATACTTCTCAAATGCTTTGAATTTGTATAAAATGGTATTTATTTGTAGTCTCTCTCTCTCTCTCTCTCTCTCTCTCTCTCTCTAAAAACTTGAAACTTTGACACCAATTGTTTGCAGACTCTGGCGAAGTGTCCCAACGGATCAATGGCTCAGACAGTGAACCCACTGTTTGACACAATGGATGCATTTGTTGCCACGTTTCCAATGAACATAAAATACTTGACAGAATTGACTTCTTTGAGGGAACGCTTCGCACAGAAATGCCATCAATTATTACAGACTCCACGAGAAGGGAAGATAATGGCCACTAAATTGAAGGCCAACATCACCACTGAATCAGATAATAATAAAAGTGGTGCTGATATTATGTCTCACCATTTAAATGATATGGTGTCAGCACCGGGTGATAGTGAATACAATCCCATTGACTACTTAGGACTACCCGTGAACCCAGACTTCTGTTCAAACCCCAGTTCCCCGCGTATGTCATATAAGACAATACTTGTCAAAACGGGTGACCTATGGCTTAGAGGCGTCGCCATCGCAGATACACACCAAATGGCTGTCAATAAATTGCTGTCTCTGTTGGACAGACACCGAGTGAATGATGGGCTCATGAATGAGGGAAACTGGACTTTAGTATCCACACAAATGCGACGATACAAGAGATGTGTTGATTATAAGTCACAAGTTTGTCGACGACTTCTCAATAATGCTTTGGATTTGTATAAAAAGGTATGAATTTTATTATTTGTTATACTGTACAGTATTTTTAGTAAACTTATTGTATTTTAATTTAGACACTGATTGCCTGTCCAAACACAGAGAGCGCCGGTATAGTGTATCCCCTGTTCTATACCCTCCATGCGTTTAATTTGGACTCAATTATACCGATCACTGAATTGAATGAAATTAAGACTTTGCGCCAAATATTTGGCCAAACCTTTGACACAAGTGGTGACACAAGTGGTGACACAAAGGCCGTACAGTTAACCCAAAATGATATCGTTTGTAGTGAAGAAAAGCCGCTAGGATTCCCGTAGCAACCCTTTCAGCAAGTTTTGTTAAATCGGAAGTTACTACTCCAATTGCTCAACATGTAGTTCAGTAAGTCTTAATGACTTTTTACAAATGTTTGAAAGTTTTGAGACACGTATTGCGTGGAAACCACTGTCCGAGAGTTTGGATGTTTTTCTGACAATCCGCACACGTTTTGGTCATTTGTGTCGATCCTGATGTGGGAAAGAGGTTACCATGACTTTGACTCCAAGAAGTGCTGGATATGGATCAATGACTATGTTTGCAAATACTATAAAACAGTTTGTATTTTATTTTATATATATATTATGTGTGTGTGTGTGTGTGAGAGAGAGAGAGATTTAATAAATTAATGAGAATGGCCATTTTGTAAAGTGAAACTTATCCGAAATTCTGTAAACGGAGTAATATGAGCTCGACAATTATAGATGGGTAAGAAACGCAATTAAGTACCGTACCTAAACTCAGTTAGTAACGGTGTTATGTCGTATAATAAGATTAAACTATTAAGAGATGTCTTCAAAATTGATGTCTAATTGTGTTTGACTTTATTAAAATTCAGAGTATTTAATCATTTGTTATATCATAATACATAATCAACATTTCATTTAAAAATATTTACCACAGTAATTAATTAATTATAAATAATAGCAATAGTTTATTACAGGTATAAATTTAGTATTAATTTATGACAATGCCTTAAATTTTTATGTAGTTTCAAATATAATATAGTTATAGTACCGTATTTTCATATCAAAAAATATTTGTAACTAAACAACTATTTATAGTGTATAATCATTTGTGTAAAAATATTTCGCAATTTATTAAACTTTTTTAGTGATCAAACTTATGGATCAATTTAATGATAGTCTTATGAATGGCGTGAAAATTATCATAAACTCAATGTTTGAAAATAGCGCACTTTTCCCGTTCCTATGGTAACCACAAGACAACACGTGCTTTGAGTTTTTGTCAACAAAAAAGTTTTTTAAACTAATTGTCACTGAATTTGGTCCCAATTTGTGTCCATTTTATTGATTATCTTTAGGTTTTTTGTGGTCATAATGAAAGCCATTATACAAAGAGTACAAAACGCGTCAGTTTATGGTAAGTGTCTGTCATTTGCATCTGTTTGTGATATTTGATTCAAGTTTTAGTGACAACTCTTGTAGTGAACGACCAGATGGTGTCCCAAATCGGCAGAGGTTTGTGTCTATTGATAGGCATATCACGCGATGACACCAAAGAAGACATGGATTACATGTGAGGACACATGAATCAACTCTTAAGATATCATCCATTGATTGCTGTGTTTGTGTCCCAAAGGGTGCGAAAGATATTGAGTTTACGTATCTTTGATGCGGAAGACGGCAAGCGATGGTCGGCCAGTGTTGTCGACAAGAAGTATGAGATCCTGAGTGTCAGTCAATTCACGCTATACTCGCATCTGAAGGGAAATAAACCGGATTTCCATCACGCGATGGACACCAAGAAGTCGCAACTCTTTTAC